TGCAGTATACTTTGTTGAACAAGAGGGCTTTTTTAAGAATAGCATTCTCTCTTTGTTAACTCTGTTCTACACACCTACAAAATACTTATGATAGTTTAATAATTTTATTATATCTTACTCGTAAGACTTGGAATGAAATTTCAAGTTTCTTTGTGGTTTGTTTGAAGGCAGAATATGTCTGAGGAAGAATTTACTGTCCCAAAATTATGTTTAACAGTTCTTTTCTCTGACAGTCTGTGATGTTGATTTGCTTCAATTTGCTTTTAATTTTTATTCTTTTAAAACTTTATTTTGTTTTTAAATTATACAAAATATTTGCATAAAAGGTTTCTCTAAGTTAAAGCTACATAACAAGAGTCCATTCACAGACATATTCTTTACTTTGGATTATAACTTGTATTATTTTGATTTATCCACCCTTTGTTTTCTTTTTGGAAAATATGGGCAAATAAGTATATATGTGAGTTATGGGTGTATTTTTCTATTTCCCACCTTCAGTACGCAAGAGATAGCATGCTAGCTATCTAAGATGTTTCATCTTTCTTCTTTCTCTCAGCAGTGCACAGTGTATTCTGGAGCTTATTATGACCTTGAGATTTGGTGTGTGAAGCTAGAAGGATGACTGGGCATTCACTTATGTGCTGGGGAAGCCCACTGAAGGAACAGGCTTGGAGGAGGGCATGGGGAAGAGGCAAAAACCATGCTGAGTTCAATCTAGAGGGTTCTGTCATGTAGGCAGTTGGACTTTACTTCTGTAGCAGGAAGTAAAGCTTAGGCTGAGCATTGACCAGCATTTGGGAGTTGGTAGTATGTGATTGAAGCCTTGGGTGGGGATGAGTTCATCTAAGGAGGTAATGTGGAGGAAGAAGAGAAGAGGACCTAGGATAGAGGAGGCTTGAGGAAAGCCAGCATTTAAAGGGACAGCTTGGGGAGGATTTGCTGCTAGTCCGGGAGGGGGAAAAGGCTCATGCCCCCAGGCTGTTCTGTTTATCTCCAGTTTTTTTTCTAATATTTTGAGGAGATCATGACTGGATGTTTTCTACCCACAATTGTATCACACTTTAAAAATGTAACTCTTGTGCTCTGGGGCTCTGCCCTCACAGGCATGGCGTGCTATTGGGTATTATAAATAACAAGCATTTTTTATTGTCATTGGCGACTGATGAAGCCTGCTAAGAGTCCTGAGGGAGAGAGGTGATGAATGTTCTTGTTTTACAGGCAGAGATGTGTGGCCTTTTGGAGAGCCAGGAAGCTGCTTTCTTCCACTGTGTTCTTAACCCTTTGAGGTAGCTACTGCTCAGGACCGAATCAGCTCCAGCTTCCAGGCAAAGGATGCCCTTTAGTTATCTCTCTGTTTTAGTGGCTCAGGTGGGTTGGGGTCTATTGAGGCAGGGAATTGACAAGGAACTCAGAAATTTACCAGACAAAAAGGCAAACACATCAGCTATGCAGAGGTTAATTTGGGACAACAAGCTCTTTTATAATTATAAATATAGAACATAAGATCACATTTCCATTTTTATTACAGTTTAAAGGGAATAAAGCTCACATGAATGGTCGTCAGAACTGAACCTTATTGTTTAAGCTTTGTATTTTTAGATTGTCAGTGGATCTGTAGCAAAAATACTGTGTCTTATTAATCTAATTTTGTATTGATGCTTCAAGCCTGCAAGCAGGCCCCAATTCTATAAGATTCTCTTGGCAGCCACCATCCCCATACAGCAGTCTTCTCTCCTTCTCAAACTCCTCAATAAGTGAAAAGGAAACACTGCATTCTGTGCATAAACAAGAAGATTCCAAAGAGAGTTGACACTCTGCTCCTTCGAGGTTGGGCCTGCCAGTTAGTTTTGGAATTTGGATAGAAAATGGGGAAAAAAAGAGTTCTAAGGGAACAAGGAAGTAGTTTGTGGGGGCCCCAGGCAGCCAGTAGATAATGGGAGATGCCTGAAGTGGAGAGGAGCTGAAGCTGGGTGAGGGGCAAAGGCTGGGTGGGAGGACCCAGCGAACATCGCTCTCTGCCGTTTTCCTCAGGGCAACGTCATCTCTCTTGCCTGGCCTATAGGAACAAGGTTTATTAGTGGCTTTTTTGGGTCAGAAGATAATATTTTTGGCTCCAGATGATGGGAAAGCCTTTGAAAAGCAAAAGAATGCCTTTCCTGTTGTTCCAGTAAGCTGATTTTTTGCAGCTAGTTTATAACTTCAATGGCTTGTAGATTATTTGAAAGCTCTTTAGGGGCTAATCAGGGAAGGGGGAAAAATACAAATGTTCCCCACTCTCTACTTTCCCTTTTCACAGTAAGAGTAAGAACTAAGTAAAAAAAAAATCAACATCAAAGTCGCTGCAGTCTTAATTCTAATAAGCATGTTTTCTCATTGATGCCTCATTAAACTAAGACTCAAGAGGACAAACATTTGAGCCTGATTGAAGCCTAGGCTACACTTAAACTAAGCATTTTGTGTAAACTTGTTTGTAAAGTATAAGATCCTCACATAATTTCTTTTTTTACTTGCGTGAAAGTGTACAAATCATACTGATTTTTCATTGATCGACATTGTATTCACAGTATTCCTGTCTAGTTTAGCATAGCAGTTAAGTTTCATCTCTCATGCTTAGTCCAATTATGATGGCCATGGTGAAAAGGATTCTGGGACTGCTTCTAGATCAGTGATGTACCCCATGAATGAGGGGCCACAAGAGTGGTAGGACATACTGCATCATTGGCTTAGAACCTGATTCTCTTTTTGGCTGTGCCTTAGAACC